GTGTTTTTTTAATATTTGCTTTTAAATTAAGAAATTGAATAATATATAGTACTAAAATTTGAATTATATTCTACAGTTTTATACCAAAGTTATTGACATAAATTTATGATATAGTAGTTCATTAAAATTTTAAATGTGAGTCAACAATTGAGATGACATGGCCTTTCACCCGTGACCTGTCTCGAAAAGGTTAAAGGAACATCAAATATCTGTAAGAAAAGCTAACTTCAAGGAGTTTACACTAGAATTATGACGTTTTATAGCTTATGTAAAATATAGAAGAAACAAATCAACTTTTCAATACCCCTACGACCTTTGCAGTACCTTATTTAGTATTCTACAAAAGGTTTGTGTGCAATATAGCAACCTGTTTTTTTTGTTGTAGGCTGGCAAGATAATAATTATTTTTAAAAAAATTATAAATGGATCATTTTGAGCAGATTTTCTTTTCCTTGTAAGTCTAACATGCATTTTTTATATGTGTACAGTCTTAGCAGTCAATAGTAAAGGTTTTAAAGTGTTGTTTGAACTGAATCTTTACTGTTTGAGGTGCTTTTTGCCCGAATGTTCTGTAAGGGTTTTGTGCAATTCCTTGTAATCCCTATTAAGAATCACTGTTGTGGTTCATCATAGTTCAAAAATTTTTTTTTAGAGTCAACAGCATCCATATGTGATAATCAGTAATTCTAAATTTAGTAAATATAATGTGCTAGGTTTAAATACTATCTGAAGTATTAAAAATATATCTAAAGAGATTTCATTCAAATACACAATATGCATGTATTTCTAAGTTTTAATCAGTATGAAAAAATTAAAGAGGAATACATATTTGAAGAGTTGCTTACAACACAATTTCATTTTCCACATTTCCTAATCAAAAGTTAAAATGCTACTTCACTAAAAATATTGCACAATTAGAAAAGATGTAAAAGTAAAATAGTTCAATTAAAAGACTTATGAAAATTAAAAAGTAGTACTAATATTTCAAGGAAGTTGATTTCTACTCATCACTTAATTATAACAGTATTCTTATTGTACTCTTAATATGTTCTTTAAATTCTCATGTTAAATCCAATTAGACTTTTTGAGCATCTCACCTTGATGGCAAAATTGCACCATTGAATTAAAAATAATTTACAGAAAATAAACTTGTAGTTGCTTTTCCACACATTAAAAA